TCAGCGATCCAGACGCACCGATCACCAAAGCCAGATCCCCGGTCGCCCGTTACTGACGCATCTGAGACCCCTCCAAACCGACCACGATCTAAACCCCTCGGATCCACAAGAATAGATAGCAGAGGCGAGGGCTCACCATGGGGCGTAGAACTCGACGAGGATGAAGGGGTGCTTGGCGATGGCGTCGTCGAAGTTGTCGGCGTGCAGGGTGAGCACTGCCTCGGGGGCCGCGGCGGCCTCCTCGGCGGCGGCGGCCTCCTCCGCCCTGGCCGCCGGGGCGGACAGGACGACGGCGAGCGCGAGCAGCAGCGAGATCCAGACCTTGGAGATCGCCATGGCGGAAGGGACTGGGGAGCAGTGATGAGATTTCTCGGGGCGGACACGACCACGCCGCGGTGCTCCACGGGTTTTAATAGGAGCGGAGAGGCCGAGAGGTGGGGTTTAGAGTCTCCTACGTGGACGCGGTCCACGGCATATTCGACCATGTCCACGGGTCCCACGCCGGCCAGGGCTCTGTGGGCGCGGCCCACAGAGATCACGGGATGATCACTAGGACTTTTCACACTCAGGTCCCCGTAACTATCAGAATCCCAATTTAAGGTGCTAAGGCCGCTAAAGTTAGGCTAGTGAATTACTATGAGGTCCCTACCGAGGGTGTTGATCCAATTAACTGGAATATGCCGCGTGAGTCGAAACGGGAGGGGTTAGCGGATCCGGGACGCCACGTCACGCTCGTGCGGCCGCCAGTGTACGGTACACGTGGGCTGCAAACACGTACCCGTATGGCGTCAGACCAACCGGAACTCGCCACGTCGTGTCAGTGACATGTCCACTGCTACCTGATTAGCCGAGGCTGCTCAGCCGACGCGCACCGGGCACTGTTGCCGGTTCAGGACTAGGAGATATGGCGGAAATATTTATGTTTGGAAGATTATTAATTCCATCCTTATCTGAGGAGATCCTTCATTCATTCACTCCATATAAATGTATGAAGAAATTAACCCGTTCCAAATTTGGAGTATCTTTGGTGATTAATGATTCGCGTGCAACACAATAATTCTGCATAGGAGGAGTAATTTTGATTCGTTTCATACTGTAGGCCGATTCTACGTGCCACACATTAACCATCTACGTCGCGCAAAAAATGCATGGGGAAATACTTTCTTTTTTAGAAACGCAATATAAATGCAGACGTTCACAACACATGTATATATGCACTGCCCCCTACTGAGTAAATAATAATAATTACTGTTTGAGGTGTTTTGCATTTCAGACGAGTCCTTTTAGCAGACTGGACATATATGGCATTTCCTGTTTCGTTAAAAAATGCATTAGTGGAGGGTGCAAAATGATCGTCGCGACGCCTTTGCGAACAACCTTTGCCAAAATGCGGTGCGAATGAAAAAGATCATCTAACGGCAGTATGTAATAATTCCGAAATTGGTTGAAAAGTGCAGCACAAGGTCCAAATGCTACGTGCAAGGAAACACTAATCTTGGTGTTATGCGCAACTGACATCAAACTCGGTAGTGCAAAAGCGTTTGCACTGCCTGTAATCCACCCACCCAGCTCAAAGCTGAGACGTTTGTTTGTTGCATGTATCTTTTTTTCTTTCTTGTATGCATTGCAGGAGCTGAGCATGGGAGATAGGCCTCATCTCAAGCTGGAAAAATCTTGGAAGAAAACAACAAGATCTGGCCTGCGAATCTTGTTGCGTTGCACACGTGCCTTTTGTACTGTTATTACGGGCGTGACAAATGACACACTCTCTTGCGTGGAAGAGGCCAATCTTGAACTGAAACGAGACAGGAGGCATCGCCTCTGGATCGTCCATTTTTCTTTTGGTGAGGCTTAGAGCATCTCCAGCCGTTGGCTTTCCAGGGGCGTCTAAAAGCGCCGCCTGGGGGTGAGTCGGCGCAAAAAATGGCTCTGGAGGCGAGTCGGTCTCCAGCCGTCGACCCCAGGACCGCCCCAGACGCGTATTAAAATAAAAAAAAAGAACCGTTCGGCGAAGTTATGATAAAAACTAGTTAAATTTCGGTTAAACATGGCAAATTTCGAAGAAAATTGCGCATTTTCATTACATTAACCTAATCTAAAAAAAGAGGCTGAAGTCGTCGCCGCCATCATCGTCGTCGGCCTTCTCCTCCTTGACGCAGGCGCCCCCTGCTGGACCCCTGCCCGGCGTCGCCATGGCGGACTGGCGGCGGCGCGTCGTCGTCGTCGTCACTGTCGCATAAGACGACGACCCCGTCTTCATCGCGGCCGCGTCGGCGCTCCTCGAAGCGGCGCAGGGCGGCGCGCTGGCGCTCCTTCTCCTTCTCCCGGCGCGCCTTCTCCATCACAATGGAGTCCTGGCGCGCCCATTCTAGGGTCGCGTCGTCGTCGTCGAACTCCGCCTTCACCGGCGCCAGCCCCGGCTCCGTCCTCACCGGCGCCAGCCCCGGCTCCATCTTTGGCTTGACGAAGCGCGGAGGAGCCAACGAGGAGGAGGCGCGCCGTCCGCCCTCGTTGATGACGATGCCGACGCTGCGAGTGCGCCGACCGATTGGCGTCTCTGCCGCGGGCTCGGCCTTGACGCCGAGAAGTGCCGGAGAACCGGAGGAGTGGGAAGATGAGCGAGAGGAGGAAGACGAGGAGGAGGCGAACCTCCTTGACGCCCATGCGCGTCGGTGTTGCGACGGGGCGGCCCCCATCGCAGGATAGGTCAACGGCGGGTTGTTGCCGCCGTCAAGGTACGCCAGCACGCCATCCAGCGTGCGACCGGGGACGCCCCACCACAGGTGGCGCCCCTCGCTGTTCTTCACGTCGCCGACCACCGGCGCGCCGTTGGTGGAGGACAGGCGCTGCTGCTGGCGGTGCTGGAAGTACGCCGCCCAAGCCGCGTGATTGTTGGCGGCGTACTGGGGGAGGGAGCGCTCGTCGTCGGTCAGGGAGGCGCGCGCGACCTCGACCTCCTCGGCGAAGTACCTGGGCTTCGCCACGGCGTCGGGTAACGGGGAACGGGCACTCCCCCGTCGTTGAGCCGCCACCCCGTCGGTCCGGCGCGCATGTTCGGCGGCGCCGGAATGTTCGCCTGGAACAGGAGCCAGGACTCCTGTTCGCGGAGCGAACGGCGGCCGAAGCCGTTCGCCGCCGCCTCGTCTCCGGGGAAGCGCTCTGCCATGGCGACGGGCTCGGCGGTGGTAGAGAGGGAGAGAGAGGGGCTGCCACGCTCGGGAGAGGAAGACGGAGAAGGAGAGAGAGGGGCTGGGCGGCGGCGAGGGGCGAGTCTGTTGTGGGCACAGGCGACTGAGAGACCGTCGATTTTTATAGCCGCTCCGCACCCGTGTGTACGCGTGCGAGGGAGGGGAGGCGTCGACGCGCCGTCCCGTGACGCCCCGCCCGTGAGGAATCAATGGCAAGGCTGACCGGCTGCAGCCTTGCCATTGATTTCCCGCGGAAACCGGGGCAGTTGGGGGAAGACGAGCCGCCGTGTCCCTGACGCGGCTTTTTTGTGCTAAAACAGTTCGTCCCGGCGCCTCCGGGCGTCCCCAGCGTGCCGGGTTCGGCCTGGGTCCACCGGCGCTGTTTTCGGATCAGGCCGACGAAAATCGGGCTACTGAAGGCGTGACTGAGCCGTTTTTTCGGCGCCAACGCAAAAAAACGCCTGAAGAGGCCTTTCTGGGCTCGAGATGTCCCTATGCGCCGTCTGTGATGCAAGCGAGTGGACGAGTCTCCAACGCCTCCATCTACTGTATGACCCATGCAAAACGAGTTTGCATGCAGATGAACGAAAAGGCAGACCATGCGTCCCATGGCTGGCGCTTCCTGGAACGAACCGAGGCGGCGTGCGCCGACTCGACTCACACCGTCACGCTCTTTTGTCGCATGCCTCTTGCTTGTACTGAGTAGACGAGGGTAAAATAGATGCATATAGACATATTTTTAGTGTGTTTGTTCACTCATTTTTATATATATTGAAATATCCGAAATATTTTATATTTGTGGACACAGTGAACTATATTCATGGTATGACCAAGTACTAGAGAAAAGAAAACCCACGCAAATTCACCTCTAACGTGCAAGGAAAGATCCAGGACTCCCTGGTGTAACGTGATCCTCGGCACTTCTCTCAGTGGAAGAGAAAAAACATACAATTACAAGCTGATGCACACATTTTCTTTACGAGACAAAAAATAGCGTATGCATGGATCGTGGATGCATGTGCAGCTAGCACGGGACAAAACAAGGTAGCGGGCCAGCTGCCAACTTTTCCAAAAGGAACTTGACGATTCATAGGAAAAAAAACAGGCACCAATATTTCGAGGAAAGCTCTGGCAACTGTCCATGTTCTTCGAGCGAGTATGAACGGCTGGGACGCTCTTCTTGCATGCGTGCAAGCCGACGGTACAATTCAATGTTAACCATTAGCAATTGGTTTCCATGCATTCTACCAACGGTACAGGAATTTAGCTGCAAGGAGCTTGAATTCTTTTCCATTTTTTTCAAGATCTACTAGAATTCTGAAGCTAACTGCTCAGTAGAAGAACAAAGTGGGGCGTCCATAATTTCTCCACGTTGAAAAGGAACTATGAAATACTACGTCCAAAATTTAAAACGCTTCGCAGTTCAAAGTGAACTGCAAAAACCGTCTTAGATATTGGTACAGAGGGAGCAAGTCTTACAAGATCAAATTGCAAACTCAACTATGTAGAATACTGCTGTCAAATGGAGAAATATATACAGCTAAGTAAAATAAAGCCAGAATCGATAACCAATACCACACAAGAAAAAGGTGAGAAATGCAACTCGCTACACACCACACCCAGTATCATGACTACGTATCTGACACCTGTGATTCTAATTGTCCAATGCGCAAACCAAATAATTCCCGAGGCAATAAAGAACAGACCGACCCAACCCTCTTATTTGATGGTATATCTAATTCGCCAACCTGTAGCAAAACCAGCAGCTTGGCAACTCAATTATGTGTGTTACATGACTGAAACACTCATCACTCAGCGAGTCCTGCGGCTGTTGGCTGGTTTAGATGGAGAAGATGGATTCTTCTTGGCAAAATCAACAAGATCCTTGAAAAGGGCATCCTCAGGTTTGGGCTGGCGGGATGCGGTCGACACTGATGCGCTCTTCCCATTCTCAGTGTTCCTTTGATTAAGAGAAAGGCTTCCTGTCCGCGTCAGCATCTCATCGTAGCCCCCTTCATTGTTCTCACCAGGAAAGCCATGTTGTTGCTCAAAGAACTGCTGTCTTTGGCCATACCTTGCAGGAGGAGGCGGTAGGGAAACTGGAGCTTGCGCTTCCCATGGAGCTTTTGGAAGATCTTCACTAGTTGACGATGAAGAAAAACCAGGCAGCGCAGTGGGGTTTATAAAGTCATCGTCAGGAAGGCTCTCAAGCTTATTCACAGATGGCTCACTCATAGGGCGAGAAGGCATGGAAAAACTGGGTGCTGCAGTTGGGTTTATGAATTCATCAGGCACATTTTCTGACCTGCTATCATAATTTGGCACTTGATCTGTTTCTGTTTTTGAATGAGATGGTGCAGACATATTGGCTGGGGCCGTTGGGTTGACAAAATCATCTGGTACTTTTTCAGACTTATAGGAGTCCCCACTTAGATAGTCGACACTGCTTGCCTCTGTGTAAACAGGCCTTTTTGTCGATGGTGGTGGAGGAAGAAGTGGGCTTGGGTATGGCCTTTCATTTCTTGGAACAGAAGACATGTTGCCCTGTGCTGCTGCGCCATCCCTTGCAGACCTATAATTTAGTCATGAGGAACGCAATTTGAGAAAATGATAATACAAGTTTTGATGTTGCAGAAACTATCCAAAGCATGGAACACTAACATGGATGAAAAGATAATAATAAAAATATAATGGAAAGGAATACAGCTTACCTGCGGGAAAGCACGGAGAACTCATCTTCTGGTTCATCGTCCTCATGGTGTACATTAAGAAGGGGGGCAAATGAAGCACCAGCAGGCCGAGGAGGGGCTGTCCCTTGGTTTATGTTACCAGCAACAGGCACTGGTATATTTGGAGGGACTCCTTTTGCTATGTCATCATAACGCTGAAGAACACGCTGCAACTCATCATTTAGTCCTAGAGCCTGAAACAGAAGGCTCTCATCACTGCAGAGGGAATACCAGAAGTCCTGTCACATGACAATGTAAAATGTACAGAACCAAAAAGGCAGAGTGAAAAAATGCATACCCAGTATCGCTAACAAGATCCATCACACGAGCATGATAAGAACGACACTGCCCAACAAGGTCAACAATGACCTCCTCCCTCACACCCTATAACATGAAGCACAATCAAATCAATATTTACAGTAAACAGCACTGGCACATGAATGACATACATCAATAGCCAAAACGTCAAAACATCAGTTCTCCTGAATATCACTTCATGTATCTCATGAATACACTAAACAGAGAAGCAAAAGGGCATACATCAACAGAAGTTCTACTTTTCTAAGAATATCAGTTCATTGTCTTAAAAAACAAGGCCAAAACATCAAGTACAAGCGATTCAGGCCAGCATAATGTAAATAGAATAATTCAATTTCCAGAAGACTATTATGTCAGTATCGTTCTCCATTCCATCATCAAACTTTGTAACATTTTATAAGGTAGGCGCCATTACATTCACGTAATAATTCCGCTAAGGGCATCTACAACGCGGGCGATAGCAGCCGGGCGCCAGGATTTATTCCCCAGGCAATGAGCGGTTACGAGGATTAATCCTGGCATCGACCGCCTCCTCGACGCAAAACAAGGAACCGGGCGCTAGGCCCTTTTCCTTCACGAGCTGAGACAAGGCGCTGTTTCCAGTCCGGATGTTTAGCACCGCTTGTTAGCACCTTGCATTGGAATAGACAGCGCTTAGTGCTTTTTAATTTTTCTGGTATTTGTTTTTTTTTTGTTTAAGTGTCTAGATAAGCTTTTAAATGTTTATTTGTAGATGCCCTAATGGGAGCCAAATCCTGGTAGGTGAATTAACACTCATGTGCCCTCTTTAACTGATGACTGCTCGGTTCTCCTGAAATCTACATTCAAGTATTCATATGTACAAGTTAAAGAAAAGAGTACGGCTATTAATTTCTATTCCCTCCGTCAGGGTTTATTGGGCCCCCTTGTATTTTGGGTTCAACTTCGACCATCTATTTGAGTATCAAAATAGTATATGCTACAAAAAAGTGTATTGTTGGATTTGTATTTGAAAGTGGTTTTTCCACGATATAATATTTGTGACATACAGTTTACGTTTTATTGGTCAAATTTATGGTTAAACTTTGGCCCATAATAAAAGGAGCTCCAATAAACCCGGACGGAGGGAGTATTTACGCATTCATGTATCTTGGAGATGGTATGATGTTAAGAATGTTTCATTTGGGTCAAAATGGAATGCTTACAGTCATCTAAACTTGCAGGAAACAACTGAGTTAGCAACCAAGGTTTCAATCATACAATCAAGGGTATTTATGTTACAGGCCAATAAAGTTTTTAACAGCATGAATAAGCTTTTAAATGGGTGGAATGTACTCCAGACATGCCACATGAGTTGGAAGTTGAGTAAACAAGTACTCCCTGCGTCCCATATTAATTGTCGCTGAAATGGATGTATGTAAATGTATTTCAGTGCTAGATACATCCGTTTGAGTGACAACTAATATAGGACACAGGGAATATTTTATTATCCATTACAGACGAAGAGGCCTGATTAACAATGGCACAGTCACAAGACTGAAATACATGAGAATGCATACTGAAACAGCTCAACTCACTATATGTAGATTTACTTACGATCTCTTGAATGTAGTATTAAGATGTAAAACAACAAATAGTAAATCATATCTCTCAAATATAGCATTAAGACGTGAAACAATAAATAAATCATATGTTTATGCCTAATTTTTTTACTAAACCAAGAAAAATGTAAGTCTGGAAGAGATACCAATCATAATAAAAGAAACAAATGAATGCAAAACAGAAAGAAAAAGCAAGACCCTGCAATTATAATACACTAAAACACAAACACAATGCTTTTGAGAAGGTCACCTCTGGGTGTCTGTGGTCAAGTGCATTTAACATCTCATCCAGCACATCCACAATTCCTCGAGCACTCTGGATCTCGCTTAGACTGTAATTCACATTGGACAAGAAAAATGAGGATAGATCAAAACTAAAGAAGTTCTGCAGGGATGAAAAGATAAACACAATTACTAGAATACAATCACTGTTTGATATGATTATGAAAATGAGACCTTCAGAAGTACTCCTCCGTATCAAAATATAAGACAGTGTCAAAAAAACGTCTTATATTTTGATAGAGGGAGTAAATAATATCTTGTGTGTGCCGTAAACTATAAAGCCTTGTCTTTTGTCGCCAGAAATACCTATGCAATTACCAAAGCTTTTTAAACTTAAAATGACCCTAGTTGCATGGATATGAGCCTTTGTTGCACAGGGAGCCAGAAACAAATTAGTAGTCAGTGCAATGCTTCATTGCTACAAGCTAGTATGTTTTTGGGTTTACTGTAAGAACAAATGAGGATAGTGCCAACCACAAAGAGTGGAGGTCCAGGTACAAGAACAATATGCGCTAACTGCTAAGAAATATCCAAGTTATATAATGTGGCTATGAGAGGTGTAGTGTGTTTGATCGATCCTATTGGTTTGATGTTATGTGTGCATGTTTTGCAACCCTTTTTGGCTATGCTTGTTTCAATGAAAATAATCAAAATAAGGAATACTCTGTAATTGTTGTTTTATCGGCGCATACGAACTCACAGCTAATCACAAACAAGTTTGCAGTCACTAGAAAGGAGGGGGTGCAACCAACGGAAGCAAAACAAACAAAACAAGGCACACAAGACAAAAAGCAAACAAAAATGGGATAAGAGAAGATGAATGCAACACTAATAAGTGAACAAACAAAAGGAACCAAATCATAAATCAAATATGCATGCAAAAAAAATACCTCAGGGGAGGTGCAGCAGGGGTACTAGATTGGAGAGAAGCTTGTATAGCTACATCTTCATAGCTTTGACCTGGAGGATATAGATGTGGCTGCCTCAAAGGTTGAGTCTGAGGAGGTGTAAACAGTGGAACTGTATTCTCCTCGCGAGGCGGAAAATCGACACCAGCTGCCTGCAGAAAGAAAAGGAAAGGCATCCTGGTCATGGTTTGTACTGAAGGAATTGCTTAGTAACTCAGCATATTACTGTATATCTACTTCTACTAAGTAGTAAGTATGCAGTGAAAATATGAAATGGAGCAGACCAAAGTCCATGGGAAAAAATAGTTATTAAGCAAAAAGCTGAGAATTATATAATTGTACAACATAGTATAGATAACAATAAAGAAGTCATAAATGGAAGGTACCCTGAGTTCTTGGTACGCAGTGTGGTACTGGGGATATCTCCCGGAAGGACCTCCAAAAGCCACTTGCCATGTGTCAATCAGACTCAATATTTTCTCCCGAACGTTTAAGTCTGGCTGTAAAGATAAATATAGGATCAAAACGGAGGGACTTGAATCTAGGAAAACAATAGTTAACCATTCAATTAGTATCGCCACCTTTTTCTTTACTATCTTAACCATTTCACTTAGTATATCACGCTCAATGATTTGTTGGTAAACAATATCCCCGCAATTTTTGCTTAGAGTCTCTAGCACCTGAGAAAAAGGCAAGATAACTAAATCAGCGTACAATATAGATATGCACATAAGAAAAAATGTATACACTGCTTTTCAAAACAAATGGATGCACACGTGGAAACATAAAACTTAGACGAGACGACATATTTAAACTAAGTGACAAACAGAAGAAGCATTTTTTGAAAATGTATGCATTATTAGCAACTGAAAGTATGTAGAACTTGTGTATTACAACAAGACCAGGCACATTTAACAAAATTTAGAAGATGTTGTACCAAGTCACAACTCCCAATAGTTAAATATACAAGAAATTTCGTAGTACTCACATAAAGGGCCAGAATTTGCACTTTTGAATTCTTATTCCCAAGGCGCTTCTTTAGGAGCTTAAGCGCATCCTTTGCTTGTCTGCATTTCAGGTTCAGCGAGCATTTATCAATATGCTTTGTGTAAAACATGTGAAGATGTCAAGTTAAATTGGAGAGCACTGCCAAAAAATACTGCATTCATAACACTATATAAAACAACAATGACAGCAATCCAATCCAATATACTAAACTAAGCAATATGCAGCACTCACACCATGAACCGAATTATAAAGTACTAATCATTAATACAGAGCAGAGTGGCTCCCATTATTCGTAGTAAGTATACAGATCGCAATTATAATATTAGTGGTCACAAGTTTGAAATCACCCTTTATAGGCATATTGACCTTCTTGAGAGCCTTAGGTAATTCCAGCTATCCATAAAACTCCGGAAGTTACAACTCACCCCCAGGATAGGGAAGAGTAACAAACAAGTTTTATTCCATGTGACTTTGAGTACTCATTGTAAATACTTCATCGCCAAATATCATGGGACATAAAAAACACAGGTTAACAACAGATACCACTGATCCATCACAACTTATTCTCTGAGACTGGTGACTGGCACAGCTAATTATCAACAAACTATTCATCAATTAACAAGACACCTTACCGTCCATGCTAACAACCATACAAACCTAATATTCCAGATTCCTAATAAGTTACAAAAAAAGGCTAGAAACCTAGACAAGCTGCAGATACACCGCAGCAACAAATTGTCAATAACATATTGTAGAGAACACATGGTTTTCTCTAATAACATAAGTCGGACAGGATGGAATGCAACAAATAAGGCCATCAATTTTTTTTAAAAAGAAAAGAACAGCATCAGAACCATAATTAATCTCTCTGCTAGAAAGAATTAGCAGATTAGCAATATTTCAGAAGATTAATCCAAACAAATCATGTTCATGATGAAAGGCAAACACAGAGGGGCGGCCTGTTCATACCCGGGATCCATGTTGATGATGTCGCAGAGCTCGATGTTGACGGCCCAGTCGGGCCCGATCAGCATGTCGCTCGTCGCCCTCTCTGCGCACGCCACGGCCGCCGACATTTCCAAACCGGCCGAGCGAACCCACCACCGCGACCACGCCCAAAAACCCTAAATCCTGCACCGAACGAAATACCCCTGATCAATCAGCGACAAGATCCACCACGCCGCGAAACCCCAGCCCCGACTCGATCCCTCCCTGCCCCCGACCTAGCTCCTGACCCCCAAACCCAAAGAGCCCGAGAATTTTACCGAATCTGAGCGGAGATCAGCGCCGGAGCCGCCCCTGCTCCGATCCGGGGCGATGGTGCCGACGCGCTCGTGCCAAGACGAGGGGGGCGGGGAGTGGGTTCGTGGGAATGGAGGGGGCGGATCAGATTTGTGGCGGACTGGTGTGGGATTGGAGGTGTTCTTGGTAGGAAAGAAAGAAAGAAAGACTGGGTAGAGTGGGTTGGGGTTGGGGAGGTGGGGGAGAAGGGAAAACGCGGGGGGGCGGACGTGGACTTTTTCCGGCGTGAATGTGAGGGCCTGCAATTCTAGACTAGAGTAGCGTTTCGTGTTTTTATTTCTTTTTCGTGTTCTGGGGGGGAGAAAAATCTTGGCTTTATCCGGTGGTTTGGAGCTCTGGAATCTGGATGGTGAAGGGTTTCAGTTTGTTTTGGTTTTTGTTGCTTGGAGCGGAGCGGGGTCAAATTTGCTTTGGGCGGTTATTTTACTGTTGTCGTGTGAATTGAGGGTGAGATCCATGTGATGCTGTTGCAAAGAGCCATGTGATGCAAAGTTTGAGTTTTGTATGGATACTTAGGTAGTAAGCAACCCCCATATTTGGTTTGGGGTATGCATTTCAATGATATCCTTTTCTCTTTCTTTTTTTAAAGACTGTCAAAGTAGTATAAAGAACATCAAAAGTAAAAAATTGCATTCAAGTTCGTAGACCATCTAGCGACAACTACGAGCATTGAAGTGAGCCGAAGACGCACTGCCATCATCGTCCCTCCCTCATCAGAGTCTCTATTTATAGGATTTTTTTGGCGTCGGCTTCACGCGAAGATGGGCCTCGAGGTGAGCACAACCCACCAGGACGCGCATGGGCCCCTGGCGCGCCCCGGTGTCTTGTGCCCTACTCTTTCACCTTCTGGTCCTTCCATAAAGCTTCGGGGGTCTCTTTTGTTCCAAAAAAATCGTCAAAAAATTTCAGCTCATTTAGAAAACTTTCATTTCTGCACAAAAAAACAACAACACGGTAGTTCTGCTGAAAACAGCGTCAGCTCCGGTTAGTTCCATGCAAATCATACCAAAATCATATAAAATTATTGTAAACATGGCATGAATACTTTATAAATTATAGATACATTGTAGATGTATCAGTTCTAGCTAGATCTGTCCATGTGATAGGGTTAGATCTTCCGATCTGTTTGGCTGTGATGGTGTAGTAGCTACTTGTGATGGATTTGGAGCATGCTAGGGGTTGTTCCCATGTGGGCAAGTATTGGTAGCTAGTGGTCATGGATGGATTGGTAGTATGCTTAGATGTGTGGTATGCTAGTGTGCAAGTGTTGAACAAGATCATCCATGTGTCCATGATTAGCACTTTGTTATGATGTGTTGAGTTGTGGTATGCTTTGATGGATTTGTTAGTTTTGTCTTCAACTAGATCATCCATGTGTGCATGTGTTACTGCTAGTTCGATCTGTCCATGTACTGCTAGTTCCTACTGTCCATGTGTAGTGTCTTCTGGTGTTGATGACGCTTACGTTTGTAGGACATGACCACGCAAGAGTATAGTCAGGTCCTCATTCTGCCTGAGAGTCAGTTCCCGCCGTCGTATGTTGAGGACTCGCAACCTCCTATGGACTAGATGCCTATTGATTCAGAGGCTTTCGAGGTGCTGCCTACAGCTCCTGCATTTGTGTTGGCTCAGCCCAATGTTGTTTCTCATGCTGCTGCACAAAAGGCAGCCGCAAAGGATAAGAAGGATGGCAGGGGGGACAACATGAAATGGCAGTTGTTCCTCTCCACTTTTGTTCTTAACAAGATGTGTGAGATCATAGCTAGTGTGGTGAGGAGGTGGGCTTCAAGGAGGTGCACTTAAACCTTGTTGCAAAGTGGGTGTTCAACTTCTGTGGACAGGAGGTCACCTTGACCAAGATGTACAACCACCTGAGGAAGTGGAGAGCGAGGTGGATCACCGCGTCCAAGCTGAGAGACCTCAACGGTGCTTCATGGGATAGGGGACATGCTCGATCCTTCTGGAGGCAGGGCACTACCAAGGCCACATCGTGGTTAGCTCACAAACCATGCCATTCTAACAAACCAGCAATTTAAGCATATGAACCATTGCCATACTAACTAACCTTTCTACCCTATTTCTTCTTAGGCTCACCCCAAGGATGCAGAGTTCCTCAACACTCCTATCCAGAACTACCACCAGATGCAGCAGATCTTCTCCTTCGGGCTAGCAACCAGCAAGCATGCCATGGGCTATGGTCAGTGAGGGAGTCCTGGATTATGGGGTCCTCGGGGATCCGGCCTATGTGACATGGTCCGGACTGATGGGTCGTGAAGATACAAGATAGAAGGCCTTCCCCCGTGTCCGGATGGGACTCTCATTTGCGTGGATGGCAAGCTTGGCGTCCGGATGTATATTTTCCTTTCTTTGTAAACCGACTCTATACAACCCTAGGCCCCTCCGGTGTCTATATAAACCGGAGGGTTTAGTCCATAGAGGCTAAGACAAATCATACAGGCTAGACATCTAGGGTTTAGCCATTACGATCTCGAGGTAGATCAACTCTTGTAACCCCTATACTCATCAAAGTCAATCAAGCAGGAAGTAGGTTATTACCTCCATCAAGAGGGCCCGAACCTGGGTAAAACATCGCGTCCCCTGCCCCTTGTTACCTTCAATCCTCAGACGCACAGTTCGGGACCCCCTACCCGAGATCGGCCGGTTTTAACACCGACAATGGTGCTTTCATTGAGAGTTCCATTGTGTCGTCAACAGAAGGCTCGATGGCTCGTTCGATCATCTACAACGATGTCGTTTTGGGGGAAGCTTTCTTCCCCGGTCAGATTTTTGTATTTGGTGGCTTTGTTCTGCGTGCCAACTCGATTGGCCACCTCGAACAGATCGACAGCTACGCCCCTGGTCATCAGATCAGTTTCGGGAACCTAAACTATGTCGCTGATATCCGAGGAGATTTGATATTCGAAGGGTTCGCGGCTCTGAGCTCCGCTCTGGCCTTAGATCCGGAGCAAACCGCCAGGTCCGAAGATGGGAGTTTGGAGCCCACCGAACTCTCCGCTGCAAGCCGCACTATCGAAGATCCAGAGGTGATTGAGTCCATGCTGAACTCAGATTCAGACCGGGTTCCTCCTATCGCCGAAGGGCCGGACTCGCCCCCGGACTCTAGATCCGAACTCTCGAAGTCCGCGCCAAGCAAGCATGGCCAGGAGGACTTTGCCCTAGCCGACCTTGCGGACTCTCGCTTCCCCGTCCAAACCTCGCTCTTAAACGAGGCTCTGGACTTAATGCGATTGAGGGAGTCCTGGATCTAAGGGGTCCTCGGGCGTCCGGCCTATTATCCATGGGCCGGACTGATGGGTTGTGAAGACATGAAGGCCGAAGACTGTACCCATGTCCGGATTGGACTCTGAAAGTGCAACTATCCCTAACTGGTTTTGGTAATTCATAACAACATATAGCTCATTGAGCTAATGCTATTCCAAGATGACTATTTTAGGAAAGCTCAATGATTGGCATGGCATGGATGTGAAAGTGGAACCCTCAAAATGCTAAGGACAAAGGATTGGCTCAAGCTCAAAAGCTCAAGACTCTTCATTTTATATTTTAGTGATCCAAGATCACATTGAGTCTTTAGGAAAAGCCAATACTATCAAGGAGGGATGAGGTGTTGCTTAATGAGCCTCTTGCTTCATCTGCTTAGTGATATGCTCCAAAACCCTCAACTACTTTCCCATATCCACATATGACCTAAACCCTAAGCCAAACTCGGTCCTACCGATTCTTTCTATCCGGCGCCACCGAGTTTCACTTGTCATAAGCCACTGCCAAACCCTAGCAATTCGGTTCTACCGATAGGGATCTCGGTCTCACCGAGATGGGATTGCAAACTCTCTATTTCCCTTTCGTAACTTTTCGGTCTCACCGAAAGAGCGAATCGGTCCCACCGAGATTGCAATGTAAACTCTCTGTTTCCCTTTTGTAACTTTTCGGTCTCACCGAAAGAGCAAATCGGTCCCACCGAGTTTACCTGACCAACTCTCTGGTTAGCTTATTACCAAACTCGGTCTCACCGAGCTTGTGTAATCAGTCTCACCGAGATTACGTTATGCCCAAACCCTAACCATATCGGTCCTACCGAGTTGCATGTCAGTCCCATCGAAAATCTCTAATGGTCACTAGGTTTAACTTTTCGGTCCGACCGAGTTTGTTGATTCGGTCCCACCGAGATTGGAAAACTGTGTGTAACGGTTGGATTTTGTGTGGAGGCTATATATACCCCTCCCCCTCCTCTTCATTCGTGGAGAGAGCCATCAGAACACATACACAATTCCAACTCATATGTTCTGAGAGAGAACCACCTACTCATGTGTTGAGACCAAGATATTCCATTCCTACCATATGAATCTTGATCTCTAGCCTTCCCCAAGTTGCTTTCCACTCAAATCTTCTTTCCACAAAATCCAAATCCTATGAGAGAGAGTTGAGTGTTGGGGAGACTATCATTTGAAGCACAAGAGCAAGGAGTTCATCATCAACACACCATTTGTTACTTCTTGGAGAGTGGTGTCTCCTAGATTGGCTAGGTGTCACTTGGGAGCCTCCGACAAGATTGTGGAGTTGAACCAAGGAGTTTGTAAGGGCAAGGAGATTGCCTACTTCGTGAAGATCTACCGCTAGTGAGGCAAGTTCTTCGTGGGCGATGGCCATGATGGGATAGACAAGGTTGCTACTTCGTGGACCCTTCGTGGGTGGAGCCCTCCGTGGACTCGCGCGACCGTTACCCTTCGTGGGTTGAAGTCTCCATCAACGTGGATGT